TCCATTTTAGCTTTTGGGCATAGTTTAGAGCATCGGTAGCTTTAGATATGCTTCTTATTTCTGTGTGTCTTATTTTTTGAACTTTTCTAATTTTTAGCATGCTATATATATACCTGATGATGCTGATATATATATACTCGTATCTGAGATAAATTATTTATTTTAGTGAATATAAAAAATTAGACATGTACTTAACTTATAAAATCAGACGTAAGGACTATTTTTGTCTCTGTCGCGTCAGATTCGAAAAAAGTGCTAAAGGGTTTGTACTAGAATGTCATAATGTCGCGAAAGTTCGCTTTCCTCCGCTGACCGTGTTACCACCAATGCACTTAGCACTTATTAACTACAGAATGGGTATACAAGAATTTACTCGTTTTTTTGTTTGCTTTAACGGAAACCTTTTAAAGGGAATAGAGGTGACTCTGTTATGTTATCCTGTTGTGGTTGCATTGGGTTTTACCTTTCACATAAACATTCTAGTAAAAAAAAATTCTACTTCCTATTTAATGTTTCCTCAAATTTTTGTTCAAAGAACAATGTACTTATCTTTGATGTTTTTGCCAAAATATTGATATATGTTAACTAGCGACTTATTTTCGTTTTGTTCATCCGTGGTGCATCCCTAGGTGTCTGGGGGTTTTTTATATACAGCTAGCGTTATCTTTTGGTAAATTTTATTACTGACACTGGACCCCTCGTTTGCAGCGTCATGGTTGAATGCGATAGTGACCCTGCAACGTCCCATTAAGACGAGAGAGATTCCGTTGGGTTTTAGTGGGTAGTACTGGCTTTTCTAGCTGTTGAGTCCCATATAACCATCTGTGGTATCATAGGTGGTATCCGTAAATGCATTTCCCAACATTAAAAAGTCTGTGTAATAAATTTTATCCTAATTCGTCAAGATGTTTTAGGAGCAGTAACAAATATACACAGTACGTAATAATAGTATGATTATTATCTGTACCTATACAGCAAAAAAAACCATTTATCTCTCTATACAAGGTCGTATTTGATATGGTTATAAGAAAAAAATAGAGTTGTAAATATTTCACGTACATATATTAATAATGTTGATTTCGCCTGCCGCTATGAATATGTTGAAAGGTCAAGAATTGGAAGTATTTTATAACGGTGTATCATATAAGGTCTATTACTCTCACTTTTTTCGCGCAAGAGCTTTGTCAATTTTCCTTTTTCCGGATACGGAACAATAAATAGACAGATTTCTTTAGATTTTGGACACGCGAAGGTCATATTGTTAATTACTTCTGACTAAAATTTTAAAGTGCAATTGCCAATTTGATAAGAAATGATGAATTATTTTAAAAATTTGCGCTATCAGTGATTCGTGTTCCGTTTTTTTTTAAATCATTTGATTGTATAGATATTGGTGATTAAGATATATACCAATACATTTACTGCAGTAATGTATCTTTGAAAAACCTTTTTTGAATAACAACCTCGGTGGAAAAGAGTTGCAGGGACACAAGATGATAATTCCTACTGTTAGAGTAACGCTCATGTTGTTAATAAATTATCTGTGCGATCTTTATTAAGATATTAAGGGGCATTCGGCCTAATTAGTGTTGTGCATTGACCAGCAAGGTCGATGGACCGCACCCGATGGTGTACAGTACTAATATATATGTTACTTCTAACTCATATAATGTTTAGGCAAAAATAACTTTATTGGCAAACCCTACAAGGACTATAATAGATAGAATAGTTTCCTAAGTTGGTTAATTCGAGTGCAGATACATGTACGTGTGTGTGCATTATCTGCGTAAGGATTAACTCACGCAATGTCATATGAATTTACAATTAAATAGTGTTTTTTCAATGCAAATTGATCACGCGAACCAATAATGTAATCGACTTCACGCTTATTAAGTTGAGTAACTTATTATTGAATGATTTGTTTTCCATTACTTTTAAACATATTATGTTAATATGAATATTAATTTTATGAAATTATATTGGGTATTATTAGTTTAGATACGATAATAATAGTTACACGACATTCATCATGAGTTTCTCTTTCTATAAATATATATCTATATTTTTTTTTGACCGTCCGAAAGACGTAGGTCTATAATTCAATTCGGGTGTATATTGTATTTTTTTTGCTTGAGCTTGTTTACACGAGGCCTATTTTTCGAATACTGCGTACTGATATAAATTATTGTATGTAACTTATGTCCAATGTGGTCGCTAATGACCTTAGATGTTAAAAAGCGACCTAAAATAAATAAATAAAAAAAAATAATTATTTGTGAAAAATCTATTGAGGTTTCGTGATCATTAGTCAGTGATAGAGTATTTGGTTTTTATAGATTTGGATATCTACAGAAAATCTTGTAAATGACTTCGCGTCTACTGTGATTAAAATTACATTAGTTAATATCATTAACGTAACTGTTTATTTTATGTTGATAATATGCAGTACATAAAAATATGTATATAAAATATTTTCATTGCGTTCAAATGTTATATTGATAATATTTTTTAAAATTCTTTAATAATACCGCAAACTATTTAAGTAATTTTACTAGTAATTATATTTATTGCATGTTGCAAAACTAAGAGCGTTATTGAAATTCAATACTTAAATTTACAAACGATTTTTAGAGTTCCGTACACGAACGGTGCCAACGGAAACCTATTACTAAGTCTCCGCTGTCTGTCCGTCTGTCTGTCTGTCAGAGACTCGTATCTCAGGAACCGTAATAGGTAGAGAGTTGACATTTTCACAGAGTATGTGTTTCTATTGCCGGTATAACAACAAATAATAAAAATAAAACATTTTTTTAACGTCTATAAAGGATCATCGAAGTTAGCTTAATACATATTTTATGCACATAGTGTAAAAGTCATATTGATAAAAAGGACATGTAAGACTGTACGGAACCCTTCTTGTGTGAATTCGACTCGCGCTTGACCGATTTTTATTAATCTTCACACAATATATGTAGGAACCTAATCTACTGATATTGATTTATCGCGAATATGAATATTTTTTTTAAATATAAATGCTATCTAATATGTTGTAAGACCTGTTATTTGTATAGCTTATTTTTTCCTTAAACAAATATAACTGCGAGTAGGTATGTTTTCATGGTTTTTAATAGTAATAAAAAAACAGATTATTAAAAATTATGTGAATAGAATTGACAATGAAATCTGCGAAACTTGTCGTATTATTTATTTAGGTATAAATATAAAGAACTTGATAAATATGAAGAACTTGAAGATATTATGTATGAGTATTGAGTACATATATAATTTTAAGTTTTTATATAAAATTAATATTTTGAAGTTTATCTTTAAACCGTGTACGTTGAAGTTCTTGTTATTGTTGCTTCTTTCATTAAAACATAACGGAAATGAGTAGATTTAAAAGAAAAAATCTATTATCTAAGTGTAGTAGCGAAAAGAAAAACTAGAAACTAAAAAAATAATAAGAAACGATGGCTGGCTCTTAACTGTTTTTGCTTTTCGCCTCATAAATTGTAAAATTCTAATGTTTAAAACGGTACATCTATATTTCCCATTTCAAGAATGTTGTATTAAGTTATTTAAAAACTGTCTGTGAATAATTTATTGTAGTTTTAACCGACTTCCAAAAAGAAGGAGGTTCTATGTTCGTATACCTACGTTCTATGTAGTTTATGTATAACTTTTCTTACTAGTGCGCGATATAATATAATCTCGTAGATATTAATGTATACAGTGTACTTAATTCTCATTAGATTGCGGTAAATCGTGGTATATATGTTACGAGACTTGTCGTTCCCAGATCAAGTTCACTGTACACCAATCATTGCCATTCGCTATCTTTAAACCGGTCACGATCGTTCCTTTCAATGATACTCGTTTTATCGACGTAACATAAAAACGACAAAAAGTTTGTTATAAATTATTGTGTTTCAAAGTAATGAGACATTGTTTAGATGTTTTATTTTACTTTTTACATTTATGTGGTATTCAAATCAATATTTTGTGTTAAATGATGTTGGGTGGTGATATATAAACATAAAAATTTTGTTTTTATACCGTTGCTTTAAGTAAAGGTGACAAAAAAATAAGTTAGTTTAAACACGGTAGTCAGAAGTCAGAACAGAAATCACGTTTTTTTTAGTGTTTTTTAAGACATTTCACATAAGGCTCTAGAATTTAGAGAATATCTCAAATCAGCTAAATTGTCACAATTGAAGTGATCTCGTATGTTAACTAGTAGGATTAGGCGAGGACGAAAACGTAAGGAGAGCATACCTTCCTACGTTTTGCTAATAAAATAATAATTGATTAAATGCCTACTGCTGTTTATGTTGGTAGATATTATAATATTGTTTCACATGAATGCACCAATACTTCTTGCATAAAGGTATTATATAATCTTTAATACAACAAGCAAACAAGGATATTTTGTTATTTAAATGTTAGTTTTTTCATTTCATATATTTTTTTTGTAACATAAGTGAGCAACGACAACAACATTTTTCTTAGTTTAACAATTATTATATACATGTTAAGTTAGCCTGTAATTGTGATATACTTTGTAACACTTTCTTATGTATAAATATAATAAGTTAAAACATGTATTCTTAGTATATAACGTAGGCTTCCTAATAAATAAAAAATAAAAATAAAAATGTACTGTTAAAAACTTCTTTCGAATAAGATTTCGATAATATCCAAATATTTATTTCGTTAACAGCTTTCATTAAAATAAGCAAACGGAAATATATGTACATATTTATGTTCACCATTTTACTACTTCGTTAGTTTTATCGATAGTTTACGACTGTTGTAAAATTATGAAATTTGCATAAAATAATTTGATTGAAACGTACAGAAAAACTGCAGTTTTTAGGTATATTTTAAGGTCACTTGTTGATTAGTTGTACACGTAAAAATAACTATATTTTTTTATTATTGTCAATAATATGTATATATAAAATTATTTGTTTTTGTCCACAGATAGAAAATAAATAAAAATGGCTCGCTTCAATTCACTATCCTCGGGCAGGGCGGGAATATCTAGTCATAGCATAAGCTACAGCTTCTTTGCATTGCTTTTATTAGGTAAGTTACTTGACAGGTATATTTTATATTTTTTTTTAATGTATGAAGACTATTACGTCGGTCTAGAAGCCACTGAACAATAGTATTGAATTGAATTAGTTTATATTACGTCACTTATATTCAATTCTCCTACAAAATGTGCCACTGTCTGACTCATGTAAAAACAATGATATTTATTGTAATTTTATTTATTACCTACTTATTTTATTTTATGACTTTGGAAATTAATAAAAAAATATTGCATTTTAACAATGCAATATAAATTTCATATTGTTCAAACTTACTACGTTTAACAGTAAAGCTTTATCTAAGTACATAATATGTCGTTATAGCATTATTAGCGAAAAACGTTATTGTAGAAATAGTTTTTTATAGCTTAAAGGTATTATATATGCGGGCAATACAGGCTTTGCCACTAATTCTAATTCGTTTTTTTATTCTCTTTCTCTCTCTCTATTACTCTTATAATGGGTCCTTGTGTATATATTTCCAGGTTTACCATTCGCGCAGTGTCAGCTAGACAAAATGTATATTAATATTAATGAAATGAATATACTAGTGGACGAGACACGACTATTCAAATTGATACAAATGTAAGTATGTATTACATGTAAAATACAAAATCATATGAATGTCTAATTATCTGTAGGAAGTGGATATGCTCGTAATTCTGGACACAAAAAACAAAGTATTATCGGACTCCTATTATATATGCGATCTTTTGTATGTGTGTGTGTATGTTTGTTACTCCTTCATACTGAAACGGCTGTACGGATTTGCATGAAATTTTTGTACACAGATAGACGATTGATCTAGAGTAATTGATAGGCTAATGTTAAACACCCAGGGAAGCCCCAGAGTGATGCGAGTAGACCGCTAATAATCCATACAAACCTAAGTATGTCTTGTTACAAAAATCTATGCTAATATTATAAATGTGAAAGTTTGTGAGTATGGATATATGGATGTATGTTTGTTATTGTTTCACGCCAGAACGGCTGAACGGATTTGGATGAAATTTTCCACAGAGATAAATTATAGTCTGATATAACACATAGGCTACTTTTTATCCGGGAAAAATGTACGGTTACCATGGGATAGGTTTGTTTTGCTCTTCGTAACGTAAAGGAGTATTACATAATTATATTCTTTATTTATTTATTTCAGCGGTGAATACAACACATCGCTGCAAGTGGCGGCACAAATCCAACATCCTGATATAGTGCAGTTCATACAATCAGTAATAGATATCCCGGGGTCCGAAGAACCCAACGCTACAGCAGAATTAACATACGACATATACGCGTATGGGAAGAGTCCGGGACATTCTGAAGTCACTTTTAATGTCACACCGAGCGGTTTTGTCAAGTAAGTTATACATCAATAGGTATAATTAGATAGTACTTATAATTTGTCTGCGGCTTCCATCGCGTAGTTTAATTACATATAATTTTTCAGCATTTAAAAGTTGTTATGTAATGTTAGATAGTTGTCAATAAGTCTATACTATTATTATAAAGAGGAAAGATTTTTTTGTTTGTTTGTTGTACCGAATAAGCTCCGAAAGTACTGGAACAATTTAGATGAAGTTTAGTAAGAAGATAGTTTGAGACCCTGGAAAGGACATAGGACAGTTTTTATCCCGTAAATCATCCCTTTAGGGGGTGAAATGGGGATGAAAGTTTTTATGGGAAATCAACTTAGGGACGAACCCGAGCGAAGCGAGGGTGAGTCGTTAGTAAGCTATAAAGGCCTAGGCCATAAAGCTTCATAGAACTAGAATTCAGTTTTTCTTTGTTTATTGGTCCACAAAACAAATGACAATCAAACACATATATAAAATAACAATTACTTACAAAGTTAATACACGTGATTGCATATTTCTAGGTGCATATACATTATACAATAACTATTACAAAATTTAATACTACAAAAATGAGATCCAACCTACGGTTTTTCAAATACTTCAGCTTTATATATTAGTATAGATTTATATTTAACTTCAATCGATATATCCACATCCATACACACCTATATTAATAATTATTTTTAATAGTTTCGCAATACATACTCGTAATTGAATGTTACAAAACCATCTTTTTCTAAGAGTTGCTTAACCAAAAATGATTATATTTATTTGCCTTTTTGTTTGCCTGTAATATGAGACGTTATACAATCACGTATAAATTGATATGAATATTATTTTTTACTGCACAATTTAATTATAGCTAAGTGTCATCTAAGTCGTTCGAATAAACCCAAGATATAACTTGACCTCTAATATTTAAAACGTGATGTCATAAATGTATGTACATTTAGCAAAAAACCCCAAGTAAAAACTACTTAAGATTACTTACATATATTTAATTTACTATTTAAAATGAGAAAGTGTGATAAGCAATAATGAGATTGCTTGTCGGTTTTTTTTTATCGTATACATAACACGGGAATGTAAATATATTTTACATTAATATTAATTTTGATTTCTCTATGGCTTTTTTCGTCTTAAAATACCAGTAACTATAAGTATACTATTTATTGTGCAGTATCGTGTATTACATGTCTTTTAGGGTTCCGTACCCAAAGGGTAAAACGGGACCCTATTACTTAGAATCCGCTGTCCGTCTGTCTGTCTGTCCGTCACCAGGCTGTATCTCATGAACCGTGATAGTTGATATTTTCACAGAAGATGTATTTCTGTTGCCGTTATAACAACAAATACCAAAAAAAAATGAATAAAATAAATATTTAAGGAGGCTCCAATGCAATAGACATTATTTTTTTTACCCTTTTTTGAACCCTTCGTGCGCGAGTCCGAATCGCACTTGTAGTTCTTATTTAATTTTAACATTTAAAATATTTAAATATATGTATGAAAAGAACTAATATTGAATCAGTTTTTGTCGCCGTCTTACGTAAAAACTAGCATACGTGTTAATCCAACATATAAGGTATCTTCTCTTTAAATTACACTGAAATTTATTGAACCGTTGCAACATAAAGAACACGCACACTCACTCAATTTATCATCCTACTAATATTATATGTAAATGTGAAAGTTTGTGAGGATGGATGGATGGATGTTTGTTACTCATTCACGTCAGAACGGCTGAACGCATCTGGATGATAGGCACAGAGATATATTATAGTCTGGAATAGCACATAGGTTACTTATCCCGGAAAAATGTACGGTTCCCGTGGGATAAGTTTGTTTTTGTCTAGGGACGCTTTTGAAACAAAGCGAAAGGGAGTCACTAGTTTTTAATATTAGTGTATGAATAATTTCTTTTTTGAAAAAGAACAAATTGTTTGTTTTTTTTCAGTCTCGATTCAGTATTTCTCCGCATAACAGTAATGCACTCGCACGCAATTAATGTTATATCCTACATCATGGGGTGGATCTACTTCGTCGCGTGGTCGGTATCCTTCTACCCGCAAATTTATATAAATTTCAAGAGAAAGAGCGTCGTTGGACTGAACTTTGATTTCCTCGCTCTCAATATCATGGGATTCTCTATGTATTCATTGTTCAACTGCGGGTTGTACTTTTCTAAAGCTATACAGGTAAGTCAATATGATAATAAATACTATAATCCCGTTAATATTATAAATGCGAAAGTTTGGATGGATGTTTTTTACTCAATTACGCCAGAACGGCTGAACGGATTTGGATGAAATTTGGCACAGAGATAGATTATAGTCTGGAATAGTACAATATTTTTATCCCGGAAAAATGTACGGTTCCCGTGGGGTAGTTATCTTTTTGTTTTACACTAGGGACGAACTCTAGCGAAGCCAGGGTGAGTTGATAGTTCTTAATATATCGTTATTTGACTAAGTAAAATCACAGGTATCGCAGATAATTATCAGTTGATAATAATTATCATTATATTATAATCAGTCATCTAAATCTTGATAATTACCATGATCATTATCAATTGATATGCTCTATGATCTTTAATAAAGAATTCTTGTATGCTCCTTTTGAACGCCTTAAGTTATTTTTTTGTGTTTATTGACAAATATAAATCTGTAATAATTAGACATAGTAAATGATCTAACTTGGATATTTTTTATCTTTCAAGGAATCTTGTTTAGAAAGTTATCATTTTTAAATGTATAAATGTGATTTTTTGATAAGTATTCAGATAAATATCAAAAATTAACAATTATCTGATATTTATTATAAATATGTCCACCAGTTGAATCATGTTGATGAATTAGCAGGCCAGTCGTTGTTTTGTTCAGTTTTATATTATATGAACTAGCTACTTAATTGGGACTTGGGAAACCGAGTTAAGCGGGTTCAAATACCGGGTCTTGGACCTCTTATACTTACATGTGCGAATTATTTCCAACATGATTACCACTTATCTTACGGTTAAAGAAAACATCGTTAGGAAACCTGCATGTCTGAGTGAATCTAGCAAGTTTTCGAAAAACCCTGTGAAATTGGCCAACCCGCACTTGGCCAGCGTGGTGGACTGTAGCCTGATTCCCATCGTACTGAAGGGAGGCCCGTGCCCAGCAGTGGGACGTGAAAAAGGGGCTGAATAGAATACAGCGACTTAGCATCGTTTCACTCGTTCACATCCCTAGTGAACAGTAGGTAGCCTATGTGATACTCTAGACCACAGTCGCTATAATCTATACAGATAAATAAAATTGAAGTGTCTGTTTGTAATGCCAAAATAACAGCGTTTTACTAAATGCATGTGAAATTATATAGGGTACTCATAAGAAAAACACATTTTTTAAATTTTTGTCTGTCTGTCTGTTTGTTCCGGATAATCTCTGAAACGGCTGGACTAATTTTTACGGGACTTTTACTGTAAGATAGTTGATGTTATAGGGAGTAACATAGGCTACTTTTATTTTAAAAAAAGAATTAGGGATATTTAGAGCGGAAGCTCAAAAAAATTAAAACGTACCTAGGGACGAACCCGAGCGAAGCGATGGTGAGTGGCTAGTAAATATATAAAGAAACACATACAACTTTCGCATTTTATATATATACTATTTTAACCGATTTAAACTAAAATTATATGTATTAAAATAATATTTATTTTACTTCCAGAGTGAGTACTTCAGCCGCCACCCCCGCAGTTTGAACCCCGTACAACTAAACGACGTGTTCTTCTCATTGCACGCCGCCTTCGCGACCATCGTCACTATCGCCCAGTGCTTTATGTATGAGGTGAGTTGAACTTATAGAAATAAGTAGAAATAAAGCTTGCTATTAATAGCAATAGAGATAATGAAATTAAAAATATGACGTGACGTCAAAATGTGTTTTGATACTTTTTTAGATTTACGCGAAATGTAATATGACTTAGTGTTTTTTTCTCTTTTTTTACCGGCCATATCTTTCTTTATCTATATATAACGTGTTTTCTCCATTCTACGCGACATTGGTAAAATAAATGTTCTTCAAATGGCACTCCTAGGAGCCATTGAACAAAATAATTAAATTAGATTTTCGCGAATATATGACATTTTAAATAAAACTATCTTTTCGCGTTGTTTCCCGAATTTATTTTGATTTTTGGTTCCCGACGTTTTTCGAAAGCTTTACAGCAATCATGGTCACGGGAGAGACTAAGGTTTCAGACATTTCAAAGGTCATTCAACATATAGTTTTTACAGACAGTAGGTACCTTCCCACAAAATTGTATAAATTATTAAATCTGCGAAAAAATACAAAAAGATAGTTTTATTTAAAATGGAGGACTATCTAATTTGTTTGTATGTTTGTTATATTGAAGTCGATATAATACATTCTTCTTAGTTAAAAAGTGATTTAATCTTTAAGCTCTTAGCTATTTATTAAGTTATTTTGATTACCACATTGTTACAGGAACCAAGTTGCTCGTTCATTTTCTACATTCCTAACCACTCGTCACCATAAACATACATTATCATACATACACATATCCGATATCCAAAATGATAAAAAAATACAAATGCAGTTCAATAAACTAAACATTAAAACAAATATTTCAGCGAGAAGACCAGCGTGTATCGACGGCGGGGCGCGGAATACTGGCCGCCTTCGTGGGCGTGGTCATAGTGACGGCCAGCCTGGGCGCGGCGGACAAGCTCGCCTGGCTCGACTTCCTATACTACTGCAGTTATATTAAACTGTGTATTACACTCATTAAATATGTTCCACAGGTGAGAAATATATTTATAGTGTTTAGTTGATAAATAATACATTTATATTGAGGCAGTGGTAGCCTAGTGGTAACGCGCTCGCTTGGGAAATCGAGTGATACGGGTTCAAATCCCGGGTCTCGCTAATTTGATATTTTCATGTGCGAATCATTTCCCACATGATTACCATTTGTCTTACGGTGAAGGAAAATGTCGTGAAGAAACCGACATGCCTGAGAGTTAGAAGTTTTCGAAAGACATGTGAAGTCCGCCAACTCGCACTTTGCCAACGTGGTGGACTATGGCCTGATCCCCCTCGTATTGAAGGGAGGCCCGTGCCCAGCAGTGGGACGTAAAAGAAGGGCTGAATACATAGTTTTATATTAATTGTATGACACCCGATCTGAGGGTAAGCCGATAATATAGGCTTACCCTCGCTTCAATCGGGTGCGCTTTGTTCGGGTACGTCTCTAGGTGTCCAATGTGCTACTTTAGGGCATAGTCGGTCATGTGTACTAGATTTTACCTAAATCTGTTGAATTCATTCAACTCATTGGTCAAATTTCGAGATTTGGTGTTTAGTTACTAAGAATGAATACGAGTACCGCCGCTGACCTGACTTTGCTTGATTTACTAAATTATAATGGTGTTACCAAAGAGAAAAGACTTAATAAATAAATGTAAGCGAAGTCGCGGCTCCTAAATAGATACTACGAAGAAACATATACGTATTATGTAGATATTGAACTGCCTCGGTGGTGTAGTGGCTAGCATGTACGGCTGTACATCCGGAGGTCCTGGGTTCGAGTCCCGGGTCGGACCAAGTTTAGTTATTGAGTCTTTCTGTATAGTAAGTCTCAGTAACAGCCCGGAGTTGGGAAGTTGGCGGTGTTTCACCCCCGTGCCTCGGAGAGCACGTAAAGCCGTCGGTCCTGCGCCGACACTCTCGCCGGTCGTGTCGAATGGTCGTCCCACCAGAGTATGAGAGTGATAGGAATAGAGAGTGCACGTTGTGTCTGCGCGTACACTTGAGCATTATTATATCTCCTGCGCAGTTGGCGAATCTCAATGAGATTGGCCGCCGTAGCCGGAATCGGCTAGGAGAACATCATTCATCTAGATATATGTATGAAGGAACAGCATGAAAACGACTTGACCGCTTTGTCATTGTTCTACTTGGCTGCCTCATTGGTGAAATCAAGGTTTGAATCCTTGGGTGGGTCCAAAATAATTTGGGTTTTTGGTCACTAACTACTGAGTAGGTGGGGAAGGAAGAATTAATCAAGTCACTACAGCACACGGTCACTCAACAGTAAAGATAGAATATATATTTTTTTATTATATCTTGCCTTAAATAAAATTGAAATTATAAACTACCTAAAACAGGATATTGTTTCTACTATCACATTAAACTTTATATTAGCCGCGTGTTGGAACCATCTGTAGTTAAAATTAGTAAAATCAATTGTTTTTTTTTTCACTTTACAGGCCTACATGAACTACAAGCGTAAATCCACAGTTGGTTGGAGTATTGGCAACATTCTTCTAGATTTCATCGGAGGTTTCCTTTCCATTCTACAAATGACACTCAACGCATACAACTATGACGATTGGATCTCTTTCTTTGGAGACGCAACTAAATTCGGTCTAGGACTGTTCAGCTTGATCTTCGATATATTCTTCATCTTACAACACTATGTATTCTACAGGTATGTATTTCTACTATTTTCTACCATTTTCTACCATTTGAGTCTCAGTGTTGTCATAATTCAATTTATATTATCTTTTATTCATTTATTATTATATTATGTGTAAGTTATGACACTTATGAGATAAAATGTGTAAGCTTTTTTGGGAATGCTTTCAAAAAGAATATTGAATTTAGTTAAAATTATTTTCTCTCTTTATAAATTCAATATTCTGCTTCGGCTTCGGGTCTCATTAATATACAATAAGTGACTCATTAATCATAATTTCAATGCGAGAAAAATGAGGAATTATCATCGGGAAGAGACCATAGGAAGATATGCAATAGTAAGAAAGAGTAATTTGGAAAATATTATGATTCAGAAACCAGATTCAATGAGAGTACTAGAGATTTATGAGATAAAACGTAGAAAAAAAGAAATTATAGAGCATAAATAATGCAACATGAATATACTGTGAGCTCCATACATTCTACAATGTGAAGATTTGCAACGATAATGTTACTTACTGTTTTTCAGTTCCACGTGGCAATATGTTTTCTTTTTTTCTAAATATTATTTCTTTTCTAATTAAATTTTATGTTTTCCGTCTGAAATTATTATTTTATTTTTTAAATTTTATAATGTACTGTGGAACTGAAGGATTAGTAGTATAAGGAGAAAAAATCCGCAAATATCAAGGAAGCAAACAGGAGTATTTGGAAATCACTAGAAAAAGTCTAAAAATAAATAAAACTGAAATTATTAAGAAGCTAAAGAGAAAGTTTAAGAAGACTGTACCAAAGAAAACTAAAAACAATAGTAAACGGAAATTTGTATTATATGCTAAGAAAGATTGCATATCATCATCTAAATCAAATCCACAAACAAATCATCATAGAACATTAAAACATCGCGCACTCATCACCAAAAATAATCAATTACAACGCTTCAAGGGATCTCGCTTTGGGAACCGCTCGCACGACGCAACAATAATGGGAAAACAAAATGGCGGCATTTTAGATAGTTATTTTTCAAGAATTTTTTTGAATTAATATTTTCAGAGAGGAACGGTTTGTTACTGACGATAGTAGTGAAGAGGGCTCGAGTATGATGGGTGGTGTTGGAAGTGAATACATGTTGGTTCGGACTTGGTATGTATATGGAGATGATCTCAAACGAGGGTGTTGACTAATTTACTTTAGTAAATATAAATAGGTTAAATTTTAGTTTTTTCCTTAGAAAATTTTTTTTTTTGCTATTTTATATAATTTTTTTCTAGGGATACCGACGAAAAGAAATACGATTTGGAAGCCAAGGCGTGATCGTCCAAAGTTGCCTGCCATTTTTATTTATATTCTATTTAGATCTTATTTCTGTTGTTTAATTTAATTTTATGCATTAGTTTGGATGTGTGAATGGATGAGTTGCTAATAAATCAGTACTTTATTCGCTCAAGAAACAGTCTGATAAAATTTTATTGCAAAAGATTTATAACAGATGGCCGTCTACGTCTGTATAAGAATTTAGTATTTTTAACATTTATTTTCCAAATTTTATATAGTTGTAACGACGATGTTAAGACTTAAGTTATATATAAATAATTATAAGAAAATTCCAATTTTGATTCGCCATGGCAATATTTTTATAGACTGACCAAAAATGCAATATATCTAAGAGAATATTATTATTGATTTAGTGTTAAGTTATCGAATGAAAGTGTTTATTTGTTGGGATCGTACACTGTATAATATAAGATTGTTGATCTTTGTTGTTATGACATAAGTCGATTTCTTAACGATCTGTGATCAATATCACACATTTTATATTAAAATGTGAGTAACGTTAACAAACGCATTTTAATTTACACCCTCCATCGGTAAAACCATTTAAAACATCCCATTCAAATTACATACACACATATGACATACAATTTCAAATTTTATTCTAAAATAATTTTAAGTATAAAATAAGCTCGATAATTATGTTTTATTATATTGTAAGTTATTTTATTTAATAAATTAGTATTGGCTTTGCTGTGTTTCTATTTACAACCTTAGACGTAATATTACTGTATAATTCACATGAAAATTTAAATATTTAGTAATCTGACTAAAATTACTATGGAAGGTAAAGGAATGAAACAATAACAGGATACATGAGTATCTACGAGACTAAGACCGACGTTGCTTCCGGGCGATATATAAATATTGTACATGACTACTCTACATCGTTATTATACGAATTGATAAGAAATGAACTCAAAGTAGATCCTTGTGGGACACCTTCATAAAATTTAACATTCAAGTTGCAAGACAGCTAGATAAAAAGCAGTAATGTTGTAAATATATTGAAAAGAAATGGAACTAGTTGATAATCATAGTTGCTTAGCTTTTTTATTACGCGATTCGCTTACACGCATGTCGCTTCATGAAGTCAAATGCTTGTGATATATCACATATTTAATGAAAATCTTATTACTAATCAAAATGCACTTTATGTATGAAATTGGGAATAATAATATAATTCTTGGTTAAGTAATTTTTATGGGATATTAGTTACTTGAAGGCCAGTAGTATTTTATAAATGATTGTCAACTGCTATCTACCTCGCGGGTTCGATTCCCATATCGAATAAATGTTTATGAGCACTGCAGATATTCTTTGTCTCACTAGAGGTAGTCTTACAATAAAGATCTGCATTACCTTATTAGGAAGTCTAGATGTATTCAGCTCTTTTTAACGTCCTATTACTGGGCACAGGCCTCCGTTCAATACGAGGGGAATTAGGACATAGTCCACCACGCTGGCCAAGTGCGGGTTGGTGGACTTCACGCCTTTCGAAAATTTTCTAGGTCCTCTCAGACATGCAGGTTTCCTCACGATGTTTTCACATACAAGTTAATATTTGCAATAGCAATATTTTGAAATGAGAATTCTATTTTCTAATGAAAATTCTACTTTCTTAATTTTTTTAAATAGATGTAACTCAGTACAGATAACCAAAATTAAACTTTAGTAAATTTAAGTCTGGATTTAACAATTGCATACCAACCAAAACATGATATTTTTAATGATCCACCTGCTATATTAACTAATATATAATAAAAACTTCTTATCTAGTAAGCAGATGGGTGGAGGACAAAATCAATTTCGGATCTAAGACTATCAGGTTTATGAATACACATTAGGTTCACTAACCGATATAGGTACTCGAAATAGTAACTTTATATTAAATATCTGTAATCAAAACATTTTTTTATCTAGGGTGGTGAATATATACAAAGCATATATATATATATATATACATATGGTATACAAATATCGTCTCAAAGATATTTTCAATTCACGTTGGAATTGAAACTTACACAAGCGAAACTGACATAACATACACACCTCCAAGGTGTACAAGTTTTCTATAATTATTATGTCTATAATTTATAAATATAATTATTGTTTTCTACATACCTATGTATAAGACTTATGAATCTATATACAAATAGACAAAGACTAAACAGTTCAGTACATTTTTCTCCTCTGTTTGTCCACTGATTTCCTTTTTTAAGTGGCTCTTGATGAGCTTTAATGTTATCAATATAATAAACTGTTTTTTTATATTTTATATATTATAGATAGGTAAATTTTATTCATACACGTTTCCCCCAAATTTTCAATAATAATTATGGTCAAATCTAGATTACTGGGCAAACACTATTACAAAATAAAATAGTGTTCATTTAACTTTAACTTACTTTTGTAAAGTAATTACTAAGTATAAAGTTAACTTACATTATTTATATAGAGACAATATCAATTCTGTTTTGGTGCGCGGATTTCTCAGAGATGAGATATTTTCCCGCAGTAAAAAGCATTTTTATATGTTGACCCGGTTATCCAGTTATCATCATACCAAAATCATCAAAATCTGTCCAGTAGTTTTCTTGTGCTGCGTTCCCAGACAGACAGACAAAAATTCTAAAAACTAGATTCGGCCTCTGATCTCTATCGATAATAATGAATATTTCAAAAAGTATTTTAGTACAGATTCGACTCAGAATTGTATCATATGTATACATAAGTTCCAGTCTTTTATCTGTAAAACGATTAGCTAACAAATTTCATAGAAATTAGAAAAATCTTGGCTGTAAATTCCTTTTTTAATATGATCTATATTGTTGCAGAGAAGCCAGATATATTCTGCTACCAGGAACTATATACAACTCTGATGAACTAATGTATGACCACGATGAAAACGATGAAAACACGTACCAGGGCTCTCCGACGTAATATTTGCCAAATATATCGCCTATCCCTATTAACATTGTCGGATATGCAAATTTGTCATTTTCTTTTTATTTCACTAATCACTCTTAAAAAGTCTCTTCTTTTAGTAGCTGCAACAAAAAAATATTTTTTACGAGTAGTTTTTAAAATAGCCACAAGTAATTTTTGTTAACCTAAATTGTACATTTAAAAAAATATCAACAATTCAAACTTTGACGCACTCTCCTGTAAAGTTGCCGATTTTCACATCCGACAATGTTAATAGGGATAGGCGATATAGGCACAGAAAGTCCTTAATACAATGAAAGCATGACGCATTTATATAGGCAATGTTTTCTACATTAATTTCGCTTATAGAAGCAAGAGAAGTAAGGGTCGGATATTTTTCTACTGAAGAAGAACTATAGATATTTACGAAAGTGGTCAGTGTTGACAATAATATGTTTGAAAGGGTGTGACGAAATATTTTTTTTTGTGTAAACAAACTTTATTTTTTGCTTAAGTTGTAAAGTATAAATAACGTTTTGTGCTTCAGTGAATTCACAATCTTGAACTGAAATGAAAAGAGAAGTGAGTGACTTTGATTAAGGAAACGTCGCATAAAGTGGAACATGTATTATTAGTATAGAATGTCAAGTAAGATAAGTACCTATAGAAATTAGTTTAGTTTCTGGGATGGGTTAAGGGATTGGGTTAATACTGGATTGCTATTGTGTCTAAAATTGTTCATCAAAAGCGATATCGAAGTACAAACTCGTAGATTAACTAAAATCTGCCTAACCAGACCGTCCCATTTGTAACTTCAATATTTATAAGAAAAAAATTAAAGCAGTATGGGCATATTAGTGAATCAGAAAGTGCAACGTATTTTGACCCAAGATGGCGGTGGTTACTATCTGTGCACCACGTTATTTAAATCTTGATCTCAAATTAAAAATACGTATAATCTGGCCAACTCGCACTTAGCCAGCGTGGTAGACTGTGGCCTGATCCCCCTCGTATTGAAGGGAGGCCTGTGTCCAACTGCTGTGGGCCTTTAAAAAGGTAATACGTCATACTGAATACATACATATAAACTGACATTTTATGGCATAATATTTAAGCTTCTTTCTTTTGTCTAGTGGTTAACAGTTAACTTATACAGTTGCATATCAGGCCATAAGATTTATTTAGCAGTAGCCCGGAGTTGAAGAGGGCGGTGTTACACTCTCATGCTAAAGAGCACGTCACGTCGCTCTTGCGCTTTATCTCTCACTCCGCTTGTGGGGATGTACTTGTATTATTTATTTCTGAACACACTAGTGGTGTGAAACATTTCCAGCGTAAATAGCAATAGTGCGGATTAAACCTCGTGTTTTTACAAGCTTTTATTAGGTAGTTACCTGTCCCGATGTCTGTCTGTAATCAAATCTTGCAAGTTAAATTTGACCCACTTACCAGTATCTGATTGAACTAAAATTTTGCACACATGTTTGGTTCTCGTGACTGCACGATTACTACTTGTCGCCATTTTTAATCTAATATGGCGGATCTTATAAAATTGCGATTTATTATTTCCATAGTGACCCTTATCATAAAGGGCATCAACTGAAAAGCGAAACACAATAAGCAAAGTGACTTCATTGTAAATCCAATATGGCGATTCCCAAAGATGGCGGACTCCGAGAAATGATTTTTTTATGTACTCCCATGATATGAATATCGATATCTAATTGATATTGTCTCTATATATGAATGAAATGGTTTGCTGAGAAGAATACAAATAAGTAAAAAATAAAACACTTAAATGGTTAAAGTTGAAACTTCGGATATCTGCGCTATCTGTCACATTTGCTCTAAACTGAGTTACTTTAAAAGTAATAAATAGTATTACTAGATAAGATTAAATAAAATACAATAATATAAAAAATATAAGTACTTAAAACGCATAATATCTCACCACTTACAATAAAGTGTTAAAAATAATGAAAATATATCTATGCAAATAAGATGCCATCTTGAGTCTATAAAGAAAAAAATGCAGTCATAATGTTGAAGAA